TTATTATTTGTTTTATTTTTTTTTATTTTTTTTTTTTTTTTTTTAAATCGTTTCGTTATATAATAATTTTTGTTTGTAAATTGTTATATTATAAAGTAAAAAGAGATGTATTATATTTAATATAATATTTTTAATATATAATATTTAATATATATATAATATTATATTTTATTTTTTTTTATATATTTTTATATAATAAAATATATTTTGTATATATTTCTATACGCGATAATAATTATAATATTAAATAAAAAGAAATAGTTGGAGACTTAAAATTAAATTAAATTTTTWTATATAGAAAAAATAATCATCAAGTATAATAATTTCAAACTTTTGACCAATGATAGTATATACTATCATAAATCCTACATACATTAAAAACATCATATGCATATAAGAATTGATTACATAGGTCTATTGTTTAGAATCAAATAAAAAATTTAAAAAAACAGGTACAAAAAATACCATTTTCTGCGTTTCTCCCTTCTACCATCACACCACAAACTACATCCCAACTCTCACACCTACCAACTTTCGATCGTGATAGAATGAGTGAATGATTGGGCCAAGAGTTTGCGTGTTACGAACCGATTTTCGAATAGGACACAATCACCGAACTGAAAATAATTATTTTACGATCCGTCGAGTTTCGTTTTTGTTTTTGTTTTCATTTTCATTTTCGTTTTTCGTATTCATTTTGTTTCTCTATCTCGTTTTCGTGTCGTGTTGTTGCATTCTGTTCCATTCGGTTCTATTCTGTTGTGTAGTTTCGTTTCGTTTCGTTTCGTTTCGTTTCGTTTCGTTTCGTTTCGTTTCGTTTTGTTTCGTTTCGTTTCGTTTCGTTTCGTTTAGCATCGTCTCGTCTCGTCTCGTCTCGTCTCGTTCGTTCCCGTTTTTAAAGTTAGTTTCCCGAGCGACACTTTGTCGAGAACGAGGAGGTAGTACGTTGACTTTTAGTAAAAATTTCCCCCTTGAAAAGGAGTTGGTTGGTTGGGGAGTAGGTGGAAGTGGGTGGAAGGAAAAGGGGTGGAGCGGGGAGGGGTGGGGGAGGTGTTGGGGAAGCTAGGTTTATATAGAAATGCAAATATACGTGAGCACCCGTTATTCTTTTGACGCGTATTCTTTCACCGTCACACAAGCTTTCTTTCTTTCTTTCTTTTAAGAAAAAAAAATAGAGATAGAAATAGAGGGAGAGAGAGAGAGAGAGAGAGAGAGAAATTGAACAAACAAAAAAAAGAAAGAAAGTAGAAGAAGAAAGGATAACAAACACCTTTCCCTGAGCGAAAAAAAAAAAGAAAAAAAGAAAGAAAAAACTGGCTAGCAGAGTACCATTCCGCGGTTCGTGATTATCATTCGAATTAGTGGTGGTGGTGTCTAACCTTACGGGGAAACGTTAAAATTAATGGTGCATACTTATGAGTATAATTTGACGAGAGATAAAAAAAAAAAAAAGAAAAAAGGAACGAAAGAGAAAAATAAAATGAAAATATATGTCAAGTTGGAAAATTAGGTACTTTGGTTAAAATAGTAATAGGAAAAAGAAAAAAAAAGGATAATGATACACGTCGAATGTGAATACAAATTTAATGGGTGAACGCCTTTGTTTAATTATTCAAGATATTATTGATCATTTAACATTGCATATGATAATTAAAAATTTAAATATTGACTTTAATTTTTTTGTTTTTGTTTTTTGTTTTTCTTTTTTTTTCATATTATTTTCATGTATTTAATTTTAATTAAATGAATCGTATATTAAAGATAATTATTATATTATATGAAATCAAATGATCAAGTAAAATAAACGAGAATAAATAATATTTTCTTCTTTTTTATCATTGAATATAAAATGATATTGCAAATAATATTTTGCAATATTTTAATTGGAATAAAAACAAACGATACGTGACAAGAGATCATGCAACATTATATATATATATATATATATTGTCTCGTTTTATTTAAATATTATATTATTATATAATAAAATTATATTACATTTAATTAACTATAATATGTAATTTATAAATACTTGAAATAATAAATACGTATATATTTTTCTTCATAGGATGTTTTGTTTTTAAAACGTGATAAATATGTAAAAAAAAAAAAAACAATATAATTAAGAATAAATTTCAAATTGTTAATTAAAAAAAAAAAAAGAAAAAATATACATTTACAATTAAATGAAATCATGAGATAGAACAACAAAAAAGAAAAAGTAATTGATTACATTTTAAAGAAATAAATTGTCTCTTACAAATATCTTATGCAACTTTGTATTTGCGTAATAATTGGAAACTTTTGTCCTACATAGTATATAAATACATATATACATATATACGTATATATATATGTATATGTGTACATACACATCCATAGGAATAGATATATGTAGAATGTAGTGACTAAACAATGGCAATTATCGTAACTTCGAATTTAACTCGATTCCAATGTTAATTCAAGCAGATCGATGTGGGTGGTGAAGGGTGAAGGGTTGGAGAATTGGAGGGTTTGAAGGTGGAGGGTTTCTATAGAACAACACGTAGATTGGTTGGTCTCTTCGTATCACCAAACTTAAAGCTATCAAAACATCTATAAACTTTTCTAACTACATTGGAAGGGGGAGTGGGGGTGGGGGGGTAAGAGGAGTTATACATATGTAAATATATTTTAACTTAGCAAAGTAAATTTTCAAATGCAACGACATCAATCCGAACTGTCTGAGATTCATTTAAAACTTGAAAGAAAAAAAGGACAAAATAAAGTTAAGAAGGAAAGAAAAAAATCTTTACATTTGCGTAATAGTAATGGCAGGTCTCATTACAACTTTTCCAATTTTTCCTTTTTTTTTTTTTTGTTTTTTTTTTTTCTTTTTTTTTTCTTACGCAAATGATTAATTATTTTTAAATAGAAAGATTTGAATTAAAATTAAAAAATAAAAAAATTTTTTTCAAATACCAAGCTTTGTCTTTTTTACTCATTCGTCGATAATAAAATATAATAAATATTTACAATAATAAAATAAGAAAATAATTTACATAAAATATAATTTTAATTATATTTATATTTATATTTATATTTTTTGATTATTAAAATTAATGTTATTTTATTTTCATTGAATTAAAATATAATTAAAATTAAATATAATCTTTATTTTATTTATATTTTTATTTTATTATTATTATATTATTATTATTATTATTATTATTATTAACGAATAGGATATTATACAACGTGAGAAGAATCCTCATATAAGGTTAACGTTCATTAAGTATAACGCGATATAGGTATAGTGAAATATTAATAATTACGGAAGATCCTATATAAACGTGTGTATAACCTCCAACGTTTTCCCCCATGAAGTTGAATGGGAATAAATGATGGTGCCTATAAGCATCACAGAGAATGTAATTATAAACACCCCTAGTGAGTTTTCCAACGAAGTATAATAACAATATATACATATGATGAATCATTATAGATATAATTCAGATAATTCGGATAATTCAATCAACTTGTTTTCATATTTGTTGCCATTATCATTTTATCTAATATTATATTTTATATATTTTATTATATATAAAATATAATAATAATAATAATAATAAAATATTAATTTATATATTATATAAGAATTTATATAATAAATAAATATAATTTGTATATTCTATATTTATATATAATTATTTATATATTATATACAAATACTATATTTTTGTACTATTGTATATGCAAAACGATATATGTGAAACTTATTATTCCTCCTATGAAGATTTTTTTTATTTGTATTTTTTTTTTTTTTTTTGTATAAATCATTACACACACTATTTTGTTTATATCCCCCTCCCCGACCCTTTTGTTTATCAACAGCAATTGGAATTTGACAGAATAGGAGTGAATGTGGTTGAATTGAGGTGATGGTAGATAAAGGTAGTGTTTGTACATAAAAGGGCATAAATTTAGGAGCTAAGGGATGATATTATCGTTTATGGGGTGGTAATTTGAGTAGATACGGGGATAGAGGTCGTATGTTATATTGTGACATTATATGGTGCTGCACCATAATGTATGCAACAACATCATATGTAGTAAATACGTATCTCGAGATGAGCAGTGGGAGAAAGAGGGTGGTGGAAAGGGATGGGGGTTGGGTGGATGGTACGTTAACGGAGTCTGATGAGCAACGTCGACTACTCGAGAGTATTATCAAGGTCATTTTCATCCCCTCAATAGGGATCGTGTCATTCGGTTCGTTGAATATCTTGCTAATTTTTTATTCTATCCATTAAAGGGGTGTATTTGTGTATGGTGTAGGGTGTATAGTGTGTGTGTGTATGTGGGGGGGCGGGGTGCAGGGAAAAATCTACCAAAGTAGAAATTAAATATTTATATTAATTAATCATATAAAGTATTTGTTATTATATTATATTATTATATAATATATAATTATTATTAT